AGATATTCTTAAGTTCATGAATATGTTCTTGAGTGTTCTTGAGATTATGAAAATGTGTGTTCTTGAGATTATGAAGGTGTTCTTGAAAGAGAGAGAGAGAGAAGAGAGAGAGAGAGGAGAGAGAGAGAAGAGAGAGAGAGAGAGAGAGAGGGGGGGGGGGTTGGGTGAGATTTTAGTTTTAGTTTTTTTAATTTTTAATTATTTATTTACCAAAATAAATAAAGAAAATAGAAAAAAGAAACGACAAGGGTAAAATAGACTTTTCAAGTGTATCATGGACCAAAAACCCAGAAAAACCTTGATTTTGGACTTGCCATGCAAGTTTAAAACTTTTTGGACCTTATCCAAAAATTTTTGTAAACGACAAGGACTAAATTTGCAGTTTTGTCAAATTTTGCCAACCGAGGTTATTATAGGGCTCAAACCAACGGAGTTCGCCATTTTCGTTTCTTTCAAACCACTGCTTTCAAATGGGATACACCGCTTCCGTCATTGAAGTCCCCTTAGAGCGACGTCGCAGCCATAAAGAAACCCGCAACTACTCGCCGGATTCTCGTGCGCCAAGTGACCGTCGGAATCGCAGTTATCGTCGCAGCCCAGACTATTCAAGGTACGATGATGAGTTCAATCGTCCGGGTAACCGTCGTTCCCCCGATTATTCAAAATCGAGGAATCGTAATCGCAGTATTAGCCGTAGCCGGAGTCGCAGCCCAGACTATAGCAGGTACGATAATCAAAATAGTTATCGCCGCAATCATCGTTCCCCTGATTATCCTAGATCTAAAAGAAGCCCTAGCCCTAGAATCAAAACCATGAATACGAACATGAAACCTTATTACGGTGACCAAAAGAAACAGTATCTTGATCGTGATAACCTGAACGGGAACGGGAACGGAGCGGAGTCTGAATCCGATGAAGAGTTAAAAGGAGCCAGTTATGAAGATTACCGGAGGCTAAAACGTCAAAAGTTAAGGAAAATGTTGAGGAATTGTATATGGAACATCACACCTAGTCCTCCAAGGCGCGATGACGATCCCGATGAGCTTGAACCTGAGGAAATTGCAGAGAAGGATGCTGAAGAAGATAATGAAAAGTACAAGGATACAAAGTCTGAGTTAGATTCAAAGGAGAGGAGCCATTCATCCGAGTCTGAATCAGAATCAGAGGACTCGGAATCTGATTCAGATGATTCCAGATCGAGGAGGAGGAAGAAGAGCAAGCGTTCAAGTTCTAGGCGTAAGCGGAGAAGCAGGAAATCAGTATCCGTGAGTGAGAGCGAATCAGATGAATCCACTGATGATTCTGAAGAGGAAGATAGGAGGAAGAAGAAAAAGAAGCAGAAGAGGAAATCCACCAAACGAAAGAGCAGCAGCAGGAGAAATAGTAAGAGAAAGAGAAGAAGTACATCAAGAAAAAGCAAAGATAGTGATTCTGAAGAAAGCAGCGAAAGTAATGGAGAAGAGGGATCATCAAAGGCTAAAAGAAGTCGTTCTTCTTCCTCAAGCAAGAAAAGGAGCTTAAAGGGCAGTGACAATTCAGCATCAGATAAGAATTCAGACTCTGAAGATGATGATAGAAGCAAACTGCAGGTGGATGAACCAGAGAAAACAGAAGAAGCTGAACGGGAGTTGATTTTGCTGAAAGAGATGATTGAATCAAGAAAGAAAGCTGGTTTAGATGATGATGATTATGATGAAGAAGCAGAAGTAGGTCCAATGCCATTACCAAGAGCTGAAGGGCATATCAGCTATGGAGGTGCACTGAGGCCTGGTGAAGGTGATGCAATTGCACAGTATGTTCAACAAGGAAAACGTATCCCTCGAAGAGGAGAAGTTGGTCTTTCAGCTGAAGAGATTAGTAAGTTTGAGGATCTTGGTTATGTGATGAGTGGTAGTAGGCATCAAAGGATGAATGCTATTCGTATTAGGAAAGAAAACCAAGTTTATAGTGCTGAAGACAAACGAGCTCTTGCCATGTTTAACTATGAAGAAAAGGCAAAACGTGAACAGAAAGTTATGGCTGATTTGCAGCGTTTGGTGCAACGTCATATTGGAGAAGAAACTGGGCCTTCTCATGATCCATTTGGTGGAACTGGAAGAGTTGCAGAGGATCCTGCTGATGCTTGAGATCACTGAGTATGTTGTCTTTTACTTAATTTCTTCATATTTGTTATGTTTCTTTGTCAATGCTTTTACTTTACATAGTTTTGTGGAATTGGATTTTGATGAATTAGAACCTTATATGTCCATTTTATATTTGCCAAGTTTTAACCTTTTTGGACTTTGGACTTGGGACAACTGGACTTGTATTGTGTCGCGAATGTAATAACCCAAATTTCATAAACAAGCAATCATAATGTAATAAAATATCTATTTCCATCAAGATATTTGATACACAGACCCTCCCTCATATGGATGTAGACTTGACAATATTTAGATCTTAGTTTTTTGATTTGTTTGCTTGTTAATGACATGTAATTAATGTTTTGGGTATTGATCATGACTGATAGTTATAACCTACCTGCCCCATTTAAGACTCTTTGATATTTCCATCCGTTTCTTTGTAGCTCCAGTTTTCAAATCCAAAGGGAGAAAGAACTAAGGAGTCATTACAGTCTCTTCAAAAAATTGCCATTTATAACTCAAGAAATTCACATTTGGCAATCGGATTGCCCCACTAGATGAATGATGAATCTACTTTTTTGATGATTCAAGATGGGTTAAAAGTCATCTTCGATGTAGTGTCATATTGCACTTTTAAGTATCTAGTAAAATTGTGATTCTTGTTATATTTTATGGATAGTACTTGTGGCATACATTGTGTTGTAGAAAAACAAAAAGACAATTTAGGGACTGTTTTGTAATTTACTATTTACACAATAAACTTGTAAAAACTAAAAACCATTTCTAAAGTAGTTTGTGTAAAACATGTGCAAGTAATTTAATATCTTCAGGAACTCATCTGGATTTACGGTACACTAGCTAGTAAATGTGTAAATTGCATGACAGAAGATATCCTTATATTTTCTTTGAAACTCAAAGGCTGTGTTTGACGCTTATAATCTACTTTATTTTTTTATATTATTGTGCGAGACCTTTAAAGTAGTTTATAAATTAGTTTTTTAATAAGCTGTTTGAGATATAAATTTATTGATAAGCCACAAAACTAATTTTTTTAGTCAGAATGCCAACCCAGCCTAAGAGCAATTCCAACTGTCCTTCATTTAACATCATTTTTGTCTTTTAGAGGCCAATAATCTTTCAACGGAACCTTCACTTTTAACATCATTTTTGCGTTAGCTTCATTTTAACACTAAATATGAAGGTCAAATATGAAAACCTCTAAAAAAAACACCATTTTAGAGGTTGGTTGTAGTTAAATCACCATTTTGATGTTAAACAATCACCATTTTAGTGTAATATGGTTGAAGAAGCTCTAAATCCATGTTTTAGCTTCCGATATTTCACCACATATGAATTTGTCTTGCCATATTTTCCCCAAAAATATGGTTTTAGGGTTATTTACACAATTAATCCAACCAAAATCACAATAGTTATTCTAGTCCTAAACACAATATATGCAAAGTGCAAACCCTATCCATTTATAGCCGATCATACTAATACTATCCAAACATCCAAACATGATAATTATTGGCAATGGCAACGACAAGACAATCTACTTTTGAAAGAAAAAAAAAGAGAGGGACAGGGTGGAATCTCAATCTCATTCTTGATTTTGCTTTTTGACTTGTATTTGCACGATGATGTCTATTGACTATTGAGTAGTCGATAGAGGGAGGCAACAAAGTGGCTTTTCTCTCTCTCTAGCAGTAAAAAGCTTGTAGAAAGTGGTTAATGTCCACTGTTTTATTTCATTCTATTGTAGCTTTCAAGTATTCATTCTTAATTACCTTTTTTTTTTTTCTTTCTTCTCGGAATAATGCCTATTTTGTTATTTTTTTTTCTTCCAAACAATGACTCTTGAGTCTTGAATATCTAATCATGAGATAACATGCTAACAAAATTATAAATATCAAAGGGAACCTAGCTGTATTAGGAGTTGTTGGATATTTGTCCTTCCGCTAAAGGTTGAATGGTTACGTCCAATTAGGGACAAAAAGTGTGAAGATTTAAAGGTAAAGTTAGTGAGTGCATGAAAGCGGTGTAGATTTAAGAGTAAAATTAGTGAGTACATGTGTTAGTTCGTTTAAAAAAAAGATAACTAATGTCATTTATGTTGGAAATACACACATGACACTTGCACATTTTGCATTATGTTAATTCAAAATGTGAAACTAAAACAAATATGTTTAAGTTTGAAAGGTAAGAAAATCGGGTTGCTTTTTGGTTTTAGATCGGATCGGACTCAAAAGAAAGTTGAAAAGTTGGTTTCTAGAAAAAGAAAACAAAATTTTAACATTTGTTATTTTATACTACTCTAAGAATATTATAGAAAATTTAGGAAGTCACCGTACCTAAAAAATTAATAGCTTATACCAATTTGGTTTTAACTGTTTTTTTTAATTATAACTTTTAAGTTAATAAATCTTAGTTATCATCGTACAACGAATGAGAAGGCAAATGGACAAAAAGTTGTGCCGCTAAGCTTTTTTATATGGTAAAGCCAATTCTTTTGGAGAGTTACATCTATAGATCTAGGGGATATAACATTGATGTGCATAGGGGTGTAAACGAGCCGATCCGAGCCCGAGCCTGATTAAGCTCGAGTTCGACTCGTTTAATTTTGAGGAAGCTCGAGTTCGAGTTCGAGCTCGATTCGAGCCTTAAAATGAAGTTCAAGTTTGGCTCGTGAACAACTTAATGGGCTCGCGAGCTTAAACGAGCCTCTCTCTCTCTCTATATATATATATATATATATATATATATATATATATATATATATATATATATATATATATATATATATATATATAGGCTCGTTTAAGCTCGTTTAGGCTCTCGAGCCCACTAATTGAAGCTCGGCTCGAGCTCGTTTAATAAACGAGCCTCATATTTAGGCTCAAGCTTGGCTCAGGCTCGTTTAATTCGATCTCGAGTCGAACTTTTAACGAGTCGATCCCGAGTAGTTCGCGAGTAGTTCGGCTCACTTACACCCCTAGATGTGCATGATCTGCTGTACTCTTCTAAGAAGCTTCACAACATCCGGCGCAAGGAAACCAAGCGTATCAAATACTGAACACATGTTGATTTTCCATTGTCACACCCCGACCGATGGAGGAATCACCGGGGTTGCGACGTGAAACGTTGGTTCATAGTTAACAACATACATCGAATATTACAGGATTCAAATAACATTACATTCTTCCAAAGTATATAAAAAAAGAAGAAATACATTGTTTAGTAAATTCCAAATGATGACTAATACATAATTTAAGTTCAATAAAGCATATATCAAGAGGACCGATTACTCGGTCAATAGTTTATTTAAGGAGAAATATCCTCCTTACCCTGTGGGCATTCCTCCAGCTTTTAAGATCCTGAAGATATATACGTTTAAAAATACGTCAACAAAAATGTTGATGAGCTTTATAGGTTTAGACTCCAATGGTTTATAATCAAAAATGCATTTATGACCTTTTAAGATTATAAATATGTATTTAGTCCGCACTTGTAATCCCATACAAGTAAAATAGTTTGGTTTATTGTTCATAACCAAGAAATCATGAGTCGTGAGTATCGTATTGAAAATATTATAAATACGAATTATATATAATAATGTTTTCAACACTTATCCATTTTGTTCAAAAGTTCCCTTTTAACGATAAAACTTCTAGATTAAAATTTATGGGTTCTAGTATGAGCCTATAACCGAACTATGGACGCGCAAGCCTCTGTAAAGCAGTACGGTGAGCAGATATACTGTGACCATCACGACGCTTCATCGACGTCGTGAAATATATAGGTGACTGAACGATTACGCCTGTTTTGACTCGTCAGACGATGGTTGTAGCTAGCAACCGCAGGCGGGGCTGTCAACCCGTATAGATATATACCAATGTTCCACGTTCCTTTCAGATTAACAGTTATAGCACAGAGGGCGTTGTACTAAGTTTTTGAGTTCTTAGCGATGAAGTGTTTCTCATACAGAATATCCTTAAATTGTTAAGTCTAGGATTTTTGTCGTCATTTGTATTCCGAGCCTTAACAATGTTTTCATTTCTTTGTCGTCACATTCGAATATATAGTTGTACATACACTATTATACATATACTTTTAAGAGTATGTAAATATGTATGTATATATCATTGAAGGCATAAAAACATTACTTCCATTCTGTGTTTCCTTTAAGCGTTAATAGCCTTTTTTATAAGTTTTCTTTTTATATAAAATATCTTATTTTATATAAATTATCATATTCTATAAAACTACTCATTTTTATAAAATATTACAAGATCTCCTTATAAGCTCCATTTTTATATAAAATATCATTTTTATATAAAAATTATCATATTTTATAAAAACTACTTATTTTTATAAAATGTTACAAGATCCTTTTATAAACTCCACTTTTATATAAAATATTAATTTTATATAAAAATAATCATATTTTATAAAAACTACTTATTTTATAAAATGTTACAAGATCCTTTTATAAACTCCACTTTTATATAAAATATTAATTTTATATAAAAATAATCATATTTTATAAAAACTACTTATTTTATAAAATGTTACAAGCCCTTTTTATAAACTCTATTTTTATATAAAATAACAGTTTTATATAAAAATAATCATATTTTATAAAAACTACTTATTTTATAAGAAGTTACAAGGTCTTTTTATAAACTCCATTTTTATATAAAATAACAATTTTATATAAAAATAATCATATTTTATAAAAACTACTTATTTTATATGATGTTACGAGATCTTTTATGAACTCCATTTTTATATAAAATAGCAATTTTATATAAAAATAATCATGTTTTATAAAAACTACTTATTTTTATAAAAATGGAGGGTGAGTCTAGCGTTGTTACATGGTTGCCCAAACGGAGGGTGAGTCTAGCGTTGTTACAAACATTACAATTGAAAAGAACTTTTGCATACAACTTGTACAACATAAACTATTGCCCACATCACATGAGACCCACATTACAAATTTATAACCATATAAATCTCATACATATTTTCCCTTGAGGCACCCCAAAAACTCACGTAAGCAATCACCTCTTCTACTTTTCTTTGCTAATTTTGAGCCGGAAGTTAGAGACCATAAACCCGTTTGTTGATCGCCCAAAATCTTCCTTAGTACCGGTTTTAAAGGTGACACAAGAAGCCTTCCTAAAAACGAACAAGTCTCGGGTTTAGATCACGCAACAAAAGTGAGTCTTTATGGCCCCATTTTCTTTAAGTTTTATAAACATTTGTGGGGGGAGATATATACATGTCTTGCATGCTGAATATGAAATTTTATTATCATTATATGATACATATTTAACATCATTTATAATGGGTTAGCACACGACACTTTAGTTATATTGAACTAACATGAAAATGGATCTATGAAATGGTTACATGCATTATAAACAAAATTTCATATTATATAATGACGTAATAAAACATTTGGTATAAAGATATTATCCGTAGATATAAATATATGTATTGGTATTATCTTTGTGACATAAGTCCATGCAAGTATTTTTGGTTGATAATCAAAACTAACCATTAGTGTTAGAATGGTCATTAATAAAATAAACCAATAAAGTTATAGACTTAGGACCTACTTTGTTAATTTATTTACAAGCAAGGTCTAAAGTGTAAATATAATATGAGATAACTAGACTTATAGATACATAAGTGTTCCATTGGATTTATGTTATGAAATATGATTATTTTTA